ACATTGAAGCCAATAAGGGAGAGAATAGTTTAAAAGTAATATGTTTTAGGACATTATGATTATCATAAGAGTCTGGAATGAGGGTTGCAGAGTAGTTCCCAGTAGATGGGGCCCGTGGTAGTGGGAGCACAGGGATTGCAAGATATGAGAAGTTCTGTCTGGCTCTCGCAGTTTTAACTGCATGGTGTTATCTGGGTCCCCAGGGCTCGATGAGCAGCTTTTACCCTCCACTTTCCCACCACATCTCCAATAAGCTAGAATGTCTCCTTCTTAGAAAAGGATGGGAGGGTCATGGATGTGAGAAGCATCGCCCTCTGGTGGCTATGTTTTGAAATGCCAGCCTGTTGTACCATTCCCGAGGAGTGCAGGTTGAGTTTGCCTCTGCTTTTTCTCCTCAGGAGAAAGATGCAGCATTCTGCTCTGTAAAGGTTTTAACCTTAGACACCCGTGAGGCGGTTCCTCTGTCTGTCCCGTAGAGTTCCCATAGCAATCAGAATGGACTCAATGACAACAGGTCCGCTTGTGGGGTGGTTTTTTTTTTGAGTGACTGTTGGATGGGGAGTTTCTGTTTGTTTTTTGAATAAATAGTGAATCCCTGCCTTCAGCAGGAACAAAAAAAGAAATAGGACCAACCCAAGCCAACACACTGTCATCTAGTTGATTCTGATTTACAATCTCTGCTATGCTCAAACCCACGGCTGCAGTGGCTGAAACGGTCCATCTTGTGGACAATACACATTCCTCATGGCCACACACATGCCAGGATGCAGTTTGAACGCAGGTATGTCTGCCTCCAAACCCTTGGCTCAGCCTAAGCCCTCTGTCTCATAAGCCCGAGTTGCCTCATCTGTAAGATGGATTTGGCAACAGGACATGTACCTATTAGGAACTGGGATCCTGGCTTGTGACAGATGGAAGCTTGGGAGGATTTAATACGATTTATTGAGGGCTGTAGTCACAGAGGTGAGGGAAGGGCCACAGGAGGAAAATGGGGAGAACAGAGTCCATGGCTGAAGGTTCATCAGCTGGAGTTAGGAGGAATACAGTCACTGCCTGACTACAGCCTTTAGGGGGCCAGAGAGCAAGGAGGTCAACACTGGAGCTTCTGTCTCTACCAGCCCTCTGATGCTTGCTTGTGCTGCCACCTCTACTGGCTGAACTCAGTGGGCAGCCAGTGGGCAAGGGGACCTGAGTGTTTCACATATTTCCTGAAACAGAGTGTGGAGGACAAGGGCTGAGAAAGGAAAGGAGAGAACACCAACCATCTTGCAATTAGACACATACATCAATCTTTATATGTAAGAAATAGATGCTTGTCAACAACAAATGCCAAATTCAAGATAATGGTTGCCTCTGAAGAAAGAAATGTGTTTATTCTGTTGTTTTATATGTTGTTAGGAGAGACTATTCCTTGGAGAGGGACATCATACTTGGAAAGGTTGAGTGTCCGTGAAAGAGAGGAAGACCCTCAATGAGATGGATTGACACAGTGACTGCAGCAGAGGGCTCAGGGGTGTCAGCGGTGAAGAGGATGGTGCGGCATAGGACGGGGTTCAGATCTGTGCTTCATAGGGTCAGTATACTCGACTCGATGGCACCTAATAAACAATATGTATCATTATTAACTATCTCTGTAAACCTGCTGGAGGGTCAGTTAAGAATAGGTTTTGACTCGATGGTATGCAACAACAACATCATATGTAATTATATATAGTATATTATATAAATAGATATTATTATATAAATATATAATATCGTATATATAAGATCTAAAATAATATTATATATAATATAGAAACTATATATGATATAATGTTGTTGTTAAGTGCTTTTGAGTCGAGCATGACTCAGAGCGACGCTATGAACAAAAGACCTGAACCTTGTACTATAACTTGTTATCTCTCCCTCTCTCTCTCTCTCTCTCTCACACACACACACACACACACACACACAAATACACACATGTTATTGTTGTTTGCTGTTGAATCAGAACTGACCCATAGGTGACCCTCCAGCGGGTTTTCAGAGGCAGTAAATTAATTGCACGTGAAGAGATTGCCCGTCCTTCTCCTGCAGAACAGCTGGTGGATTTGAACTGTGTGCCTTTATATACATATATAGATTATATTATTTTTATTTAATAGCAGCTCCAAAGGTGAAAAACCTGGAGATCTGCTCCCATAAAGGTTAAATTCCCTGCTGTCAAGTTCATTCCAGCCCCAGGAACAGTGTAGGCAGAAGAGAGGGTTCCCGAGGCTCTTGGTTTTTTGGTTTGGTTCGTTTTTTTCAAGGGCCGGGGGTTGGTTTTTTGGTTTTTTCCGGTTGGTTGGTTTGGGGTTTTTTTTGTTTGTTTTTCAGGGAGGCTCTTGGTTTTTATGGACGTACCTGACACATTTTCCTCCCAATGAGGAGCTGGTGGGTTCGAAACACCACCCTTCCGATCAGCAGCCAAGCGCCTAACCGCTGTGCCACTAGGGCTCCTTTCCATGAAGGTTAGAGCCTAGAAACCCATCTGCGGCACTGCTGTTGGGTCACCTGGGGTCATTGTATTAGAAGTCATCTTGACGACACCTTATAACATTTTTACTGTGTTGTTAGGTGCCATTGAGTCAAGGATGACTCATAGTGACCCTATGAACAACAGATCTGAACCCTGTTCTATCCAGTGCCAACCTCACAATGTGTGACACGCAAGCGCCCGTTGCTGCCATCCCTGTGTCAATCCACCTGGTTGAGGGTCTTCCGCCCCCTTCACTGCGCCTCCCCTTCCCCAGCAGGATGTCCCTCTCCAAGGAAGAGCCCCTCCTAGCAACATGCCCAAAGCGCGTGAGATGAAGCGTCACCCTCCTTGCCTCCAGGGAGCACTCTGGCTGCACCTTTTCCAAGACATACCTGTTGACTCTTTTGGCGGTCCGTGGGATAGTGAGCACTCTTCTCCAGCATCACAACTCAAAGGCATTAATTTTTCTTCTGTCTTGTAGTTGTGTGAATTTCTAAACATGATCTAGCGCTGCTCTGCAGGTTTAAAAACTCTATATGAATCATATTTAACTGCCTGTGTGTGTATTTCCACAAGTAGCTCCTTTGGAGCCCATGCTTTTGTGGAGGGGAAATTGTAGTCCATTCATTTTCTCTGCTGAAGAGGAGGGACAGCTGGTATTTATTGAGCACCTGCTATGTGCCAGAAGCAATTGCTTTGTCTATCTTATCTGGTTGAATCCTCAACGACGCCCTATGCAGTAGACACTATTCTTATTCCCACTTGAAAAAGGAGGGAACTGAGGGACAGGGTGGTAAAATCACTTGCCTGTGGAGCTTTTTGTTAGATGCCCTCAGTGGTCTGGGTCAGCAGAACAACCTCTGGTGCCTGACTCTGTACTGTCCTCACAGTAGGTGTGTTTGCGCCTGTTGTTGTGGTCACTGTGTTCTTCTCATTGAGGGTCTTCTTTTTTTTTTTCCACTGACCCTCTGCTTTTTCAAGTCTTTGTTCAGGGACCGGTCCCTTCTGATAGCATGTCCTAGATACATGCAACCAAGCCTCACCCCCTTCTCTTAGGAACATTCTGATTGTACTTCTCTGAAGGCAGGTTTGCTCGAGCCTCTGGCACTCCACAGTCTAGTTAACAACGTTTTCCAACACTAGAATTCAGAGGCACCAATTCCCAAGGTGCCTGGGAAGTGATGATTGAAAGGAATAATAGAAACAACCTAATGTGTACCAGCAGGAGAGGGGGATTAAGAAAAAGTGGGATTGTAAGCTTAGGTGGACAGAAACCATTGTGGTAGGGAGACTTTCAAGGAAGACATAGGTTCAGAGTCACATGAGTTCAAATTCTCAATGGGGTTTTGGGAAATTCACTGTGGGAAAGGTGGAGACTTGACCACTAGCCAGGCCGACCCCGCCTGAGTCACCACTGAGGATGTTGCTTCCTCCTCCAGCGGTCTCCTGTACGGTATCTGAGTGGAGTGACTGGAGTCGCTGTGCCAAGCCCTGCCAAGTCTCCTACCGCACCCGCCGGAGGCACGTCCTGCAGGAGCCCAGGAATGGGGGCGCCCCTTGCCCCCTGCTGGAAGAGCGGGCTGGCTGCGTGGAGTACTGGAACCGCCAGGGAGTCGAGTGCCAACAGTCCTTACGTGAGCTGGGGTCAGCCGAGGTGGCTGTCAGTGGGCACAGTCTTTCTAAACTCTGGACCTCCAGGGAGCCTGGGAGGGGTATGAGTTTGGGATAGTACTTGACCTGGCCTTGCCCGGATCTCCTCTCCTCATCTTGTGAATGTGCCAAGAAGCTCTGACTTCCACTGTTAATTTCAGTGTCTTCTCTCCCTGTGCGAATCGACCAGCACTTTTTGTCAGAGTAAATGCCAGGACATCCAACTTCAACTGAGCAAAATTTTGTGGTTCCGACGATGTTGCAGGGTTACCTTCAGGCATGGCTGGATCCAGGGGCTGAAACAATGCTGTCAAATGTTTCTCCCCCTCCCTCAGCTCTGCTTTTCTCTGCGTTGGGGTCACTGTTAAGCATTCTCTCCTCCTGCAATGGTCTTGATAGTTCTCTGTTCTGTTGAATCAGCCTAGCAAATGGAAGAAATGTCTCCTTTCCCTTCAAGTCCAGTAAAAAGTTCTAGAATGATGCTCCTTGGCTTGGTATGGGTCATATGTCCATTGATGAACCAGTGGGCACATAGTATTTGATTTTATTTTGACAACTCTATGATATATTATTGTTGTTGTTAAGTGTCGTAGAGTCGTAGGCAACTTATAGTAACCCTATGAATGAGAGACCTGGACACTTGTGTAACTTTCTTTTTTTTTTTTGTATGTGTGTACCGTCAAATTGGATCTGACTGGTACAGGAGGCAACTGTTCCTCCTTCTTCAGCAGAGCATCTGGTGGATTTGAACTGTGCACTTCTGGGATTGCAGTGCAGTTTCCTGCCACTAGGCCACCAGAGCTCGCCACTTGTGTAACTTTCACCCTCTCTCCAGGTTCATAGTGTTTCCAGAGGCAAGCTATTATGGAAGTGGATGCCACTCCTGCTTCCAAGCTTGTTTTATCAGGGAGCTCCACCAAACACTGTCTGCCATGGGTAACCATTATCACATTTGACACATCAGTGTTGCAGTGTTCAGCTTCACAGCAACCATGGGTTACCTCTGTACAGCAAGGGGACAGACCAGGGCTATCCAACCTAGAAGAAGGTTTGACCAAAAACAGTTAAAAAAATAGGCCTGTTTTTTTACACATCATAAAACCCCAAAAAAAACCCAAAACCCCCAAACATTCAGAAAACTGAAGCTCAGAGAGGTTGAATAACTTGGCCAAAATTACTCAGCTTTAAGAAGGGGAGCTGGGACTAGAAACTGGGTCTATCCAGGTCTCTCCTCACTGCTTTAATCTGCACCGGAAGAAGGATCGTGGCTGTTGGAAGAGGAAAGGAATAAGCTGTTGTGTATAGAGGTTGCCAAGGTCCAATCTCCATGGCAACAGCAGGGAGCGGTTCCTGGGATGTTCCCAGATGGTCTAGTGCTAACAAGCATTAGGTCAGCACTGTTTTTCCCATACAGCTTGATGCCTCAGGAAATGGAGATGAATGAGGCTTCTTTGTCATCTTCCAGCCTCTTGTGAATGGTGGCTGTCAGTTCTCTGTTTCTGTATTCTCCTTGCCTGCTTGTCCCAGAAAGACAGACTTGACTCAGCAACAACAAAATGTTATTAATGGTTAATCCATCCAACGCTTCCTTCTTCCTTGCTTCTTCCCTCCCTCTTTGCCTGCCTGCTTTCCTTCCTTCCTTCCTTCCTTCCTTCCTTCCTTCCCTTCTTCCCTCCTCCTCCTCCTCCTCCTCTTTCTTCTTCTTCTTCTCATCTATTCACACATCCATAAATCTGCCCATCCATCCGTCCATCTGTCAGTCAGTCTGTCCATCCGTCTAGCCATCTTTCCCTCCATTCTTTTATTTATGACATTTCTTTTACCCATTCATCTGTTATTATCCACCCTCTTGTCTTCTCTCTACCTTCCTGATTTCTCTTTATTTTCTTTCCATTTGTCTACCATCTTTCTATCCTTCCTTCTATGCTTTAATCTTCCATCCATCCATCCATCCAGTTGTTGACCCCTTTATCCCTTCTTTTTTACTCATTCACTCATTCATTCATCCAAATTACTCAATCACTCAAAGAACTTGTGCTGAGATCCACCACACACATAGTTCCTGTGCCAGACCTTGGAATCTGAGAGATAAGTAGGATTCTGTCTTCATTATCTGTATACCACACAAATGGAACCATCTACAGCAGGAGTGACATCAACTTCCTAAACAACATGCCTCTGGAAACTCAATGAACTTTGATAAATGTCGATGGATGCAGCAGGGCTTCAGGCCCTTTTTTTTGTTTTTTCATAGGGTTGCTATGAGTGGTGCTGGACTCGAAGGCAATCAACAACAGCAACAACCACCCAATTCTAAGATCCCACACTATCTCTATTGCCCTAGGAGTATCCAGCCCTGAACCCTGAGGGGCCACGCCTGAGGGTTATGCTGTCTAATTCTGCATTCTCCTTGTTTCCTAGTCCCGGCTCTGATCACCACAGACAGTTATGGGAAGGAGCGGAGAAAGCGAGGAGTACCTAAGGGGCAAGACACAGTGGGGTAAGTGGAAGGAAATGAACTTGAAGTTGAAGCAGAATCTGTGAGCCTTCTCTCCTGGACATTCACCGTTCACTGTATCTCTCTGTTACTTCAATAACTTTAATAGCTCTCCATCTCTTATTTTTTTTTTTTCCCCATCTCTTATTTTGTGACATTTGTAAGTCCTCGTTAATTGGTCTCCATTCATTCATTTATTTGTTCAACAGTTATTGAATGCCTGTGACGTAATTGGCAGACACTCTGCTAGGCCTTGGGGGCTATTGACAGGGACAACAACAACAAATACAAAAATACCTGCTTTATAGAGTAGGAATTCTAGTGAGAGAAGATAAACAATATTAAGTAATGTTAAGTGCTATGGAGAAAAATCAAGTAGGGAAGAAGATGAGAAACCCAGGAACATCCCCACTGAGAAGGTGCCATTTGAATGAAGAACTGGCGAAGGATATCTAGGGAAGAACAGGTCTGGAAGAGGGGACAGCAAGTGCAAAGGTCCTGAGGTAGGACATTCCCATGTGTTCAAGGACCAGCCAGACCGGTGTGACTCAAGTGCACAGAAAGCAGAGACCAGAGACCAGAGGAGCCAGAAAGAGAATGGGAGTCTTATGTTGGACTCCGGTGTCTTCTCTGATGATATGGGAGTCATGGGAGGGCTTTGTTTTATGTTGTTTTTTTTTTTAAAAGAAAAATTTTATTTTATACTGGTTTACTTACAAAGTTCGTATACATTGTTTTTCACACAATGCATCTTTCACACAATGGACTTTTACCGTTTCCTTTACCCACCCCTCCCTCCACCCATCATATTGTACAACCCTATGATTAAACGTCCCACCTCCACCCATCCTCATCCCTCTTCCCAACCTTCTCTCCATGGATCTTTATACATGTTCTACAAGAATGGTCTTATACAGTATTTGTCCATATGGGACTGAGTTAGTTCACTTAGCATAATGCTCTCCTGTCCATGGAAGGGTTTTAAGCAGAATAATGACATGATCTAACTTGGGTTTTCAGAAGACCCCTTTAGATACTATTTGGAGAATGGACTGCAGAGAGACAAGGGAATAATCGGAAAGACAATGAGATTACTCCTCTGGGCCAGGTGAGAGAGAAATGCTGTTGCATCTTATGGCAGCCCTGTTGCCTCTTGAGAGCTGGGTTGAGAGGGCTGGAGACAAGTGTATTGCATGATAGGGTCGGCAAGGTCAGGTTTCGAGGACAGTCTGACATGTGGTGGATCACCCTATAAACATCAGTTGAAGGAACAAGGTCTCAGCAGTAGAGATGGAGAGGAGGCTTGTGTTAGTCAGGATCCTTTTGATTTCAAATGACAGAAAAGCACCTCAAACTTGCTCAAATGAAAAGGAGGATTTCGGTTTACGAAAAACTGAGAAGGAGGTTTTGGAAGAGTTTACTTCCAGCACAGCTGGATCCAAGAGCACAAGTAACGCCCAGATTTGCTCTCCAACACTCCTTTCTTTTGTTCTTTCTCTGTATTGGCCTCTCAGCCTGACACAGCATTGGGCAAGATAGCCACCAGCGTCCCTCCCTGCTCCCTGGAAGCAACCCCGGAGGGACGGGTCTTTTCTCCCAAACTCAGTGTATCATTCTTAGAGGAGACTCGGTGGAGAATTCTAATGAGTCAGCCTTGATCATCTGTCCACTCTTGTGTCAAACGTTGGGGGGGGGGGTTCCAAGACTGGGAGCCTTGATTGGTAGCCCCTTTGAGATCACACAGGGTAAGGACAAGAGTTTATAAAATCTAAGAGAGGGATAGTATGTTAGAAAGCACACTTCCCAGTTATTAACTTAAAGTCTTGAGAGTTTTGGGGCAACTCAGAGAAGAGAAGGCTTTCCTTGGCAGGAAAAAAATTTATTTACTGCTCTGGTTTCCCAGAGGCTATAGCCACCAGGGGGCAGTAGCCCCACAAGCCACCCTGGAGCCCTTGCTATGCTATATCCTCTCCAGCAGGGGGTGTCATTTATGCAACTTATGAAAAAAGTTGCACAGAAAGAAGTAAACACTTTGGTAAAACGCATTTTATTTCAGATACCCCAGAATGGGGAGCTTCCCTTTAAAATGATTTCTGTTGTAGATCTGGTCTGCATGAAATGAAATCTTCTGTTAGGGGAGGTGGCGTGGCAAAGAGCATCCGTCTAGGCTTTTCTGGATTTGTTGATGCAATGGTTATGCACTTGGGTGTTAACCAAAAGGTCATGGGTTTGAACTCACCAACTGTTCCTTGGGTGAAAGACGTGGCAGTCTGCTTCTGTAAAGGGTCCACACAACGTTGGAAACCCTCTGGGGCAGCTCTGCTCTCTCCTGTGGGGTCACCATGAGCAGGAATCGGTGGGTTTGTTTTTTTCCCCACTGTGGGAACCATATCCGTGATCATGAAGCTGTCACAGGCAGGACAGTGCTTCTTTTTATTTTTTATTTTATTTTTATTTTATTATTTTTTGTGTGAGTGTACCGTCAAATCAGATCTGACTGGTACAGGAGGAGATTGTCCCTCCTTCCCCGGCAGAGCATCTGGTGGATTCGAACCGTGTACCTCTGGGATTGTAGTTGTAGCTCCTTGCCACTAGGCCACCAGAGCTCTAGGACAGTGCTTCTTAATGGAATTCTTACATAGAAGGCCGTGAGTCGACACAATTTTGTCCTTGTCACTGTTGCCCTGGAACTCAGAAGGAAACATTGCCCAAGTCCTGTGCCATCTTAATCATCCAGGTACCCACAGTCCTGCAGTCGGTTCTGACTCATATAGACTCCCCAGGACGCGGCAGAGCAGCCCATATGGTTTCTGAGGCTGCCTGTCACCCTGGAGGGGGAGGCGCTGCATCCTTCTCCTGTGGGCAGCGGGTAGGTTCAACCTGCTCATCTCTCCACTGCCTTAACCACTGCACCACGGGGCTCCCTTCAGTGTGATACGATGGTTCCACTTTGTATACCGCCGCTTACTAGACTGTGGACAAGTTGTCTCTCATCTTCCTATCCTATGCAGTGAAGGGAATGTGTGATTCACAGGGAATTCCTGTGTCATTGACCAAAGTGATTTAACAAATATTTATCAAACCAAATACTATTCTAGGAGTTGGATACTGAGATGAATGAAACAACCCAAAGTTTTGCATTTGTGGAGTTGACAGGCTAATGGGAGAAAGATGAGGATGAAAGGTTGCAGTCTGTTGACTTAGAACAGGGCCTGGCACGTAGCAAGGCCGCAGATATGATCACTTGAAATATCAGTTGAGTCTTGTGTTGTATGTAACCTGTTGATCCGAATTAAGCTGCCTGGAGGTGTTATGGTTTTACTTTCTAAGATGACTTCTATTGTGCTTAAGGCAAAAGTTTACACAGCAAACAGGGGTTCCTTATGTTCCATGGTATTGCTTGCAGTTTTCTCCACATTGTGTCATCATTCATTCATTCCATTCTGGTTATATCATTTCTGTTAATCTAGTGTCCCTGTTCCTTTACCTTCTCACTATTGTTTTTCCCCCCTCATTATTGTTTTAAAGTAATTCGTGACTACGTGATCTCCTGTAGATGATTTCTTTTTTTTAGAAAAAAATTATTTTATTAATTTTAATGAACATTTACAGAGATTTTAGATTTCCATTCATTCATTGTTGCACTTTTCTCCATGCCCAGCCCTCCCCCTCAGTTCACTCCTCTCTTTGAAAAGTAAAAGATAAATTCTTTCAATGGTATACAATCCCCCAACGCCCCACCCCTGCCCCAAGTACACTCCACTATACAACCTTAATTCTGGACTCTTGTGATAACCATAATACCCTATCATGTATTGCTTGTAAATTGTTCTCTCCCTTATCTGTTTCAATGCAGTATACATAATTTATCCAGTTTTGCTCAGTCTTACCCCAACCCTGATGTCAGTTCCATTCTACAACAGTGGCACCATGCAGTATCTGTCCTTTTGTGACTGAGATATTTCACTCAGCATAATGTCCTCCAGGGTCACCCATTTTGAATAATATTGCATGAGTTCCTTGTTTTTCAATGCAGCATAGAATTCCATTGTGTGAATATACCACAGCTTCTCTCGCCATTCGTTTGTTGATGGGCACTTGGATTGTTTCCAACTCCTTGCTATTGTGAGCAAAGCTGCAATAAACATGGGTGTGCGTTTATCTGCTTGGATGTCAGTTATGGTATTTTTAGGATATATGGAATTGTAGTGGAATTGCTGGGTCAAATGGTATCTCTATTTGCAACTTTTTGAGAAAGTGCAACACCATTTTCCACAGTGGTTTACACTTCCACCAACAGTGAATCCACGACCTCACCAGCATTTGTTGCTAGATGATTTCTTAAAGAAGCTAGTTTCTCATAGATGATAGTCTTTATTTCATGGGCCAATGTGTTACTGAGCTAAAAGGTAACTTCAAGGATGACTTTGGTTTGAGGTTTAAAAAATATCTTAGGGTGATAGTCTTGGGAGTGCTCTATCCCCAGCCAATCCAGTCAGTCTGAACTTTTATAGAATTTTAGTTCTGCCCAGCATTTTTATCTTGTTCTATCAAGATCCATTGTGTGCAATCATTAATGACAACTCTACACCAGCTAGTTCTTCTGGTGTCCATATCAAGGAGAAACTGAAGGGAAGTTCTTTGGGCTGCATACACAGTAGGTGCTTCATAAATGCTCAGGTGCTTGGGGTGTGTCTCCCTGTGTGGCTACAGGTACTGTGTCCGATTCCAGTTGGGGCCCATCCCAGGGAGCTGTGGGCAGGTGAGGGCACCCCATGCTCAGTGGACAAGGTATCTGATCCAGGGCCACATCGTCTGTGTGAAGTGTGAGTGGCCAGCCATGGACAACAGGAGCCAGCGCTGCTATGGGGACGGCAGTGAGACCAGACGGTGAGTGGTGGGAGTGCGCATGGAAAGCGTGATTACTGGGGCTGGGGGCTTCTCTGCTGCCATAATTAGTGCCTTGGGGACCAGCTCCCTGGCCAGAGTGAGGTCATCAGTGTCCTCGTCCCAATGTCCAAGGAAATCAGCCCGAGATAAGAGCGAGAGCCTGCCATTTCCAGCTGTGTGACCTTGGGGAAGTTTCTTAACCTCTCTGAACACCAGTTTCCTCTTCTGAATATAAAGATAATCGGAGGAACACTTTATGGGAAGGTGCAAGGGTTGAATGCAGTTGTATCAATTAAACTCTTAGCACAGCGTGCCTGACAGCCAAGGCATGCTAAAAAAAAAAAATTAAAAAAAAAATGGAACTGATGTCGATGAATCCTCAAGGATACTTTAAAAGTCAAGTCCGATTACTTTCATTCTATGGATAGGGAAACCAAGGTTCCGAAAGGCAGTGTGACTTGGTCAAGGACACACAGTGAGCTTTGAATCCAGAGTAGGCTTAAATCATCCTCATAGTGTCTCTCACAAGGGCTGGGTCCCTCTGGGAGCCCCAAACATACGGATGAGATAATACGTATGGATTGAGGGGCCTGGTGGCGCAACAGTTATGCAGCTTGACTGCTAACCTAATGCTTAGTGGTTTGAACCCACCCTCATGGCATGCCACATAGTGTGCTTGGTTGCTGATGGAAAGGTCAGTGGTTCAACTCCACCACCTTCTCCAAGAGATATGTTACCTCTTCCTGTAAAGATTTACAACCTTAGAAACCCAAGGAGCCTATGAGTCAGCATCAATGCCACTACAATGGGCTGGTGAGTTTTAGTTTTCATTTCAATGTGATTTGAAAGAAAGGTTATAGAAGAGATTGGTTTCCTGTTGAACCATCCATACACACTCCCCCCCCTTCCCACTCCTTACCCCTCCAGAAAACTTAGATGAACCCAGTCCACCACCAGCTCTGTCTCACCTTGGTCTCTGTTCCTCCATTGCTGCTGTTGCTACTCTCATTTAGCTCCTAGCGTACCTCCTTCCATCCACGTTTTATTTCCTGACTTTATTGGCAATCCCCACGTTGTAACAGCACTCGTCCTGCTTCCTGTCTGTGACTCTTGTTTCCACTCATCCTTCCAGCCGCTCCCTTCCTGAGCTTTAACCCTGAGCACACGCTGCCCCTTTGCCTTGCTACGGCTGACTGCTCTAAGCACTGAGTATCTCTCAGCTGTTACTGTTTGCTTTGTGGGCCTGTTGTGTGGCTGAAGGTTTTGCCACAGAGATGGGTTCTGCTTGGTCTAGGGTTCTGGTTTTGTAGTGGCTCTAGCGAAGAGAGGCTGAATGATCTGCTTCTATAAAGATTTTGTTGTTGTTGTTGTTGTGTATCATTGAGTCGGATCCAACCCATAGCTGACCCTCTGGTGGGTTTTCAGAGGCAGTTAATTACATGGGAGGAGATTGCCCATCTTTCTCCTGCAGAGCAGCTGGTGGATTTGAACTGCATGCCTTTAGGATTGCAGCGTGGCTTCTTGCCACTAGACCACCAGACCTCCCTTCAAAGATTATAACCAGGCGAGCTCTGGTGGCCTAGTGGCAGGAAACTGCACTGCAATCCCAGAGGTGCGTGGTTCAAATCCACCAGATGCTCTGCTGAAGAAGGAGGAACAATCGCCTCCTGTACCAGTCAGATCCAATTTGATGGTACACACATAAAAAGAATAACTAACTAAATAAATAAATACAAATTTAAAAAAACTTGTCAAAGTATCATTAAAAAAAAAAAATTATAACCAAAAGCACCTGTGGGACACTTCTCATCAGACATATGGGGTCATTATGCATAGAAAACGGACTCAACCGCACACAGAGCATTTGTGGAATGCTTACTTATATGCTAGGTGTTAATATAACTCTTGATATTCATTCGTTCATTCATTCATTCATTCATTCAGTATTTATTTGCACACTCACTTCTGAGCTGCACCGTGCTGTAATTGGACACGGGAGACATAATCCTTAGCAGGGTGGGCACAGCCCTTTCTCATAAGAGGACAACATCCTGCCGTGAGGAGATAGGCTTTGGAGAAGTGGGTCTTTAACTTGTCAGATGGGAAACAAGTGTTAGGGAAAGAAGCGGAGTGAGGGGGAGTTCCGTGGGATGTTATTTTTCAAAGCATGATCAGGGAAGGTGGCACTGAAGGAGGTGACTTTTGAAGAGCTGTGACTATAATGAGGGCAGGTGTCATGTGGATGTCTGGGGAAGGGCATTCCACAGTGGGAACAGCGAGTGCAAAGACTCTGAGGTTGGTGTCTGTCTCTTGTATTTCTTGTATTTTTGGAGCACTGAGGAGGCCTGGTGTGGCTGGGACCGAGTGAGCGAGAGAGGCTGTAGGAAGAAGTGAGGCCGTGTTAACTCACAGCGCACGACTTAACCGTTCCAGAACCTAGAGGATCCTTTAGGTTTTTAGTTGGATGATGATGATGATGATGATGATGATGATGTGTGTACCGACAAATCAGATCTAACTGGTACAGGAGGAGATTGCCCCTCCTTCTCCAGCAGAGCATCTGGTGGATTTGAACAGCGCGCCTCTGGGATTGCAGTGCAGCTTCTTGCCACTAGGCCGCCAGAGCTCCCCTAAAGTGGATCCTTTAGGATACCCATTTTCCAGATGAGGACACTGAGGTGAGATGAAAAGAGGAGCCCAATGGGCAGAAAGGGTATTTGAAGCTGAATCGTTCAGACCTCAGAGGCACATTCTTAAGCCTATTTTAAACTGTCTCCCCGTTAAAGTCCTCTTGCTGTGTGAAGGGTTATAACTGTTGGGATGAGAGCTCTCAGGGATCTATCTAGGAAATATGTCTCCAATTTCCAAGGCTGTTAATTTCCTTCCTTTAAAGTCCCGGCAGCTCAGTTCACTGCAAGGATGCAGATGCCAGGTGGGGTGTTAGGGGCAGATGGACTGAGACAAGGGGCCTTGGGACCAACATATGTGGGTTCAAATCCTGCCCCTCCTTACTAGCTGTGTGCCTCTCGGCAAGCCGCCCTCCTCTCTGGTCTGGGTGGACCACTGTATGTGGCTGCACAAATGATTGTACGGCCCCTCTTGTGTGCTCCATGGGAGCTGGTGTTGTCATAGCTAACCTGTAGAATGGGTATAATAATATCTACTTTGTGAAAATGAGACCTAATAGATGTGATGAATATGATTCATCTTGGTGTTGTGGCATGCCGTCAAGTCAGAAATGACCCACAGCTGACTCTCCAGGGGGTGTTAAGAGGCTGTAAATCACACAGAGGGAGACTGCGCACTCCTCTCCCATGGAGCAGCTGGTAGATTTGGACCACGTGCCTTTGGGATTGTGGTGCAGGCTCTTACCACTAGGCTACCAGAGATGGCATCTAATAAATAAGTGGCAGATGATATTATTACACTTTAGGAGGGTCCTCACTGTCTGTCCTTCTCCAATCTCTTTCCTACTCACTTGACCTGGAGCAAAGATTCCTCCCTTAGATACTTATTCCATGGGCTGTATGTTCACTTCGTGGAGGCTCAGTTTATCTGTCCATCCCTGGACGAGCCTTTCCTGTCCTGAGATCCTGACTAAGCACCAGTTCTCTTTGGGTGGCAGTATTCTGGGATGAGGAGGGTGACACTCCATTGAGGCTGAGCCGGGAATCCTGGAGATCTTTGCTTCTGAGAGGAAAGCAGAGTCAGTGAGGAGCGTCTCTTCTCGCTCCCACCCGTCCCATGGCCAAGTTCACAGAACAGGTGACGGAAGGTCTGATCAGGACATGAGCTCACCAGGCAAGACTGAGCAGACAGGGATCCGGATGAGAAGAATGATGAGTGGTCAGCTGAATTCTTTCCATGGGCAGGTGAGGGCAAGCAAGCAGAGGGCATGGGCTGAAGAGGGATTCGCCTGTCAGGCAGGGGTTTTGGAAGCGTTGATTTATCCTCGGAAGAGTCTGTGAACTTGGTGTAAGCAGAGAAAACCTGCCATTTACCTGCATACCTCCTGTGTGCTGGGCACCAAGTAGGAGCTTTATACATACATGCCTTTCCCCCTGAGGTCTCACAAGTCCTTTTGAGACAAGGGCCAGTTGACTAAAACAATAGTAGTTTTAATAGCCACCATTAGTAAAATGCCTTTTGTGGGCTGAATGCTGGCCTTAGAAGCTTAGAACACACATTATTTTTTGACATCTTATTAAAAACTTTTTTTTATTTTATTTGTGTGTGTGTGTGTGTGTGTGTGTTTACCGTCAAATCAGATCTGACTGGTACAGGAGGAGATTGCCTCTCCTTCTCCAGCAGAGCATCTGGTGTATTTGAACTGCTTACCTCTGGGATTACAGTGCAGCTTCTTGCCACTAGGCTACCAGAGCTCCCTTATTTTTTGACATCTTTTAAATATTTGGCTTATACATACAAAAACCTAGTTAAAACATATAAATGGGTTAGCACATCTTTGGATAGGAGATACTTGGATAGCTATCATTTAGCAAGAAACCAAACTTGGATGCCCCCCAGTTCCATTGTGCACCCTCTTCCCTCATTCCTTCTCTGTGACTGAAAAAATTTAGGTATTTATTTTGTTTTTGTGTTGAAACTATTGTTGTTGTGTACCATTGAGTTGGAGCTGACCCTCCCATGGGTTTTAAAAGGCAGTTAATTGCGTTCGGGGTTTGCCCATCCTTTTCCCGCAGAGCACCTGGTGGATTTGAACTGCATGCCTTTGGGATTACAGCGCAGCTTCTTACCATTAGGTCATTATACAGAGCAAAAATCTCAGCAGCTGTCATTGAGATGATTCAGACTGTGGATTTGCCCCAAAAGGTTTCCAAGACTTAACTCTTTATGGCAGTAGACTACTTCCTCTTTCTCCCTCGAGCAGCTGGTGGGCTTGAAACATCCACCGAGTACTTAACAACTGTACCATCAGAGCTATTATATATACACAGCAAAATAAACACCAGGGCAACAATGTTTACACGTTTTCACGCACAACTGATGACGTTCCTTGAGTCGTGCACCCATGCCTCTCCTGTTAAACATGGATTCATTACCGCTCTAGGCTTCCTGTCTAATCCTTCAGGCGGCTGTTGTCAGTTTAGGGGATTGTTGCTGCCCAATGGGTAAGGACTTGGGCTGCCAACGCAAAGGCAGGAGGTTCGAACCCACCTGCTTTTTCATAGGAGAAAAATCCCCCCCTGTGTGATTTAGAGTCTGAAAACCACCTCTGGGTGGGTTCAGACGCGACGGCAGTGGATCCTGCTTGTTTTTGTTGTCAATTTGATCCAGCGGCATTTAAGGTAAATCCGCTTTGCCGTTTTCCTTAATAGCGCCACTTACCTGTGTTTGCCCGCGTGCACCTTCATGACTTTCCTTTCTTTCTTTTGAACTTTACATAAACAAAATGATGCAAAATACGCCCTTTGGAATCTGTCTTCTTCAGCTGGACATCAGGTCCTCGAGCTTCCTCCATGTGGCTGTGTTGTGGCGGTGGGTCTCTCGTTCTCCTTGCTGAAATGATTAGTCATCTCAGAACTGTCATTGAGGCACTTAGTTTTGCTGCACACAGCATCTCATCCACTCACATCTGGCAGAGCGAGGATTAGTATTATTACTTTCTAGCTTTTCGTTGTGACTTGAGTGGAAGTTTCCAGAACAAGTTGTTTTTGTTCTTGTTTGTCAATTCCACACTTCAGACACAGTTCCATGACAGGGATTATAGCCTTCCCAATGACACATCCCTCTTCCCTCTGCTCACCCATGTTCAACATGTCCATTCCGCCTTCTTTCCTATCCCTTCTTGCCCTCTGAGCTTTATTCCTGGGCCCATGTTGCCCTTTTGATCTCTTGTGGATAATTGTTCTATGGTGAGGATTATCAATAGCTCCCATTTTCCAGATGAGGAGACTGAGACTCAAGGAGTGGCAGCATGTTTCCTGTTCAGTTCCAGGACCTGTTCTTTTAGTGACTCCACTGTGTTTCCCCCATGGGGGAAGGTCAAGGAAGTCCAAGTGACTTAACCTGGGTTTGCCCAGCAAGGACATGACAGCGCTACTCTCTTTGCCGACCACCCCTTCCCGTGAGTCACTGGGAGCCATCTGAATTGGCCAAGTGGCCTCCTCAGGCCAGGGACACCATCTCCTGATGCACAGAGCCTAGTACCCATGGAATTTTTTAGGGCTTACAAAAACAATTTCATTTAAAAAAGCAGATGAAAACGTGATGGATCATAGTGACTCGTAGTGCACCCAGAGGCCCTGCGGGTGTACTCAATAAAGCACTCAGCTATGAGCTGGAAGGTTGTAGGTTCTATTCCAAAAGACGGTGGTCTATTCCAAAACCGCTGCTAAAAACCCTGTGAAGCCCCATTCTATTCTGATACACATGGACTCACCAAGAGTCACCAAGACTCCACTTGAGCAAGGAGCTGCAACTACAATCCCAGAGGCGCATGGTTCGAATCCACTAGATGCTCTGCCGGGAAAGGAGGGACAATCTCCTCCTGTACCAGTCAGATCTGATTTGATGGTACACTCACACAAAAAATTTAAAAAAAGACTCCACTTGACAGCAGCTAGTCAGTTATAATAACAAACCTATCCCAGATAAGAGTTGTCTTTATATAACACAGTCACAGAGCAGAGGTTTAGGGTTTTTGTTTGTTTTGTTTTTTTACATGAAGAAAAGAGTCCCCCTGGAGCCCATGACAGTCCCGTGTGACCTGAGCCAGCCTCCTCTCTTGCAGGAACCAGCTGTTGCTGTGGCGGGCAGCCGGCCACCCCCGGTGCCGAGGGAGCTGGGAGCGACTGGGGCAGCTCCCGCACTGCACCTGCCCTGCTGTCCACAGCTTCGTCTTCATCTAGTGGCCACCACCTCCTGACTGCTCCTGGCCCTCTCGGAAGGGCACCTGGATGGCAGGGAAACCGCCAGGACTTGGGATCCCGCGGGCCGGGGGAGTGGGGAGAAGCCTGTAATTTCAAGACTGGAGGAACAGCCTTGTCCTTATGTCAAGACACTGGAAATAGCAACAGCTGAGTCACAGGCCTCCGTGTCTTCCCCGAATTCCCTCCCCTCTAGACACACCGTGGCTTCTGCCCTGTCCTCTGTACTTGTACAGTCTTTTAAAAAATTGTCTCTTTTCTCTGTCATCCCTTCTAAAAAGGAAATAAACTTATATTAAAAGGATTGCACTTAAATACATTTGCTTTAAAGAACAGAAATTCAATACCTTCCAGTTGGAGCTGTTCATAGCAGAACCTCCACTGGGTTTCTGAGGCTGTAAATTCCATGGAAGGAGATTGCCTATCTTGCTCCCTAGAAGGGGCTGGTGGGTTTGAACCATCAGAGAGACAGTCTTTGGATTAGCAGTGACATTCCCTAGGGACTTCATCACAAGGGCTTGTTGGTGGTTGTGTTTTGGTTTGTTTGTTTGTTGTTGTTGTTTTAAAGGAATGCTTTATCAAGGCTGTCAGTGAAAAGAAGTAAGCGTTGCAAACATTTGTTAAGTTCCTGCAGAGGCCCCTCAGCAGAGAGGCCTGGCCATCTGCTTCTGCAAAATCAGGCCTTGGCTGGAAAACCTGCAGAGCTCAGATCTACACTCCGCACACACGGGGTCGCCACGAGCTGGAACTGGTGACCACTAATCACAGCAGCAACTAACCAGAAGGTTGCTGGTTCAAGCTTACCTCGTGGCACCTTGAAAGGCCTGCAATCTGCTTCTCTAGGATCAGAGCCGTGAAAACTCTGGTCCAGCTCTGACACCCTCACACAGCATGTCTATGAGCCTGGTGGCCTTGACGGCTGGGAATTGGTGTCTCAAGCACCATCCTGGTCCCTTACATATATTGACTCACTGGATCTTGACTGTTGTTGCTGTTGTTATGTATTGCAGAACAGGAACGACTCCGGCAGGTATTCAGAGGCAGGAAATTGCACGGGAGGAGATTGCCCATCTCTCTCCCGTGGAGCTGCTGCTGGATTCAAACCACATGCCTTTGGGTTGGCAGCACAACTCCTTACCACTAAGCCACCAGAGCTCCCTGGATCCTGATGAGGAACAGTTATTATTCTGTGCTTTTCTAACAGATGAGGAAACTGAGCACAGAAAGGGCAAGTTACTTTCCCACAGGCACAGAGCGAGTGAGAGCCCGGTCAGTTGCTCTGCCCTCCAGTCCCTGCATTCGGAAGGAGGACAGCCAGCTGCTTCGGACAGGGATTTCCATCTCTCTCATTCCCTGCTGTGTCGCCAGCACCTACGACTGTACCTGGCACACAATGCTTGATAAATATCTGCTAAGTAAATAATTAACAAGTAGTAAATATTTGTTAAGTATTGAATGACTATTACTTAATAAATATTAATGCTCAAGAAATATTTTCTGAACAAATAACTAAATTAATAAGTTGCCATGATTAGAAGGCAACCAGAAAAAGAAACACAATGGAAGCGGCACAGTCTGGCGGGTCTTGGGCTCTTCCAAGTTGCTGAGGGCGATTTCTGTTCAAACGTGAAATTTAGAGATAGCTGTGGGTGCTTCGGGTCAATTCCGACTCTGGGTGACCTGTGTGACAAGGTAAACCAGCCCATGAGGTTAACCTGGCTGTAATCTTTATGGAGGCTAATCGTCAGATCTTTCTCCTGTTCAATCATTGAGTAGATTCAAACTTCTGACCTTTCTGTTAGTAGCCAAGAGCTTAACTGTTGCACCATCAGATCTCCTAATGAGAGATATTAGAGAGATGTCAGAGTCCCTTCACATCTGCTGGAGTCTTGCTGTTTGGCAAATTAGAAAAGTTACCAGACACTTGAAATAGGATTATTGTCTCCTAGTTGTGTGCCATCGAGTCAGAACTGACCCATAGCTGACCCTCCACAGGGTTTTCAGAGCCAGGTTATAACACAGGAAGAAGTTAACCGTCCTTCTCCTGCAGAGCAGCTGGTAGATTTGAACCACGTTCCTTTGGAATTGCAGTGCACTTTTTTTACCACTAGGCCACCGAGCTCCATCTGTTAAAGGAACCCCAGTGGCCCAATAAGAGGCCTAGTGGTGCTGCGGGTAAAGTTTTGTTATGAGGAAGATGACAGTCTCCTTCTATCAGTATTTCCTGCCTTGGAGACACTATGGGACGGTTCCACTCTGTCCTGTGGGCCTGCTCCGTAAGTCAGACTCAACCCCATAGGAGTTGGTTTGGTTTTAGTCAGGGGATCGATTCTCATTTATTAACAGCTTCCTTGAGGATATATAGCTCACATACCATTTAAAGCGTACAAACAAATCTTTTAAAGGACATTCACAGGACTGTACAATCATCGCCACTGTCTAATTTTAGAACATTCTGTCCCCTGTGAAAAAACTCTGTTCCCATAACAATCATCACTCCCATCCCTCCAACCCCTCCCTCGCTAAGCAACCAACCACTAATTGATTTCCAGTTTCCATAGTTTTGCTTCTGCCCATTTTATGTGAAGGCTTCTCTCACTTAGCGTCATGTCCCAAGGTCCACGTGTGGGGTAGTGGGTATCAGGACCGGGGCAAGTGACTTAACGTCCTATCTGAGGCTGATGTAAACCCATCTTGAATATGAGCCCCCCTTCTGTGAGGCATCACTGGGATCAAGGAAGGCACTTTGCAGGGTCGTGGCTCGGTCAGCAGCTTGCCCTCAGACCTGGGGACTCTGAGGACAAGGTGCAGGTGGGTTCATCTTTCAGCTGTCCTTGGGGTTGGCCAGCATTGGCCCAACATTGCTGCTGTTCAGTCCTCCTTCCCAAATCAGGGCCCTGGATGCTCCTGGGAATTCTTGCCTGTCCCTGCTCTCTGGAAGTGAGAATGACTCAGGGGGCAAGCGTTTGGGCAGCACCTGCCGCGTGCTGGGTGGAGTGAGATGCTGGATGGAGGGGAGAGAGGCACAGATGGCTGCTGTCTGTCCAGGAGGCCATGAGCCCAGGACACTCCCCAGGAGCGGACATTCTTGCCCTGCCTCTGCCTTTGTTTGGGCCCCAGGAGGCTGTTGTATGCAGAAACCACTTTATAAGTCTTAAGTGCTGTTTCCCCAAGTGGATCTTAAGTGCCTGAATTGTTGGGCTCTGTCCTTTGTAGGGAGAACCCTGCCTGCTAGTACAGTTAAGAGCTTGACCGCTAACCCAGAGGTCAGTGGTTTGAACTGACCAGCTGTTTCACCAGAGAAAGATGTGCTAGTCTGCTCCAAGGTAGAAAGAGGTGGCTATCTGCTCCACGAAAGACGGCAGCCTCTGCTGCCCTCACCCCCCAGCAGTTCTGTTCTGTCTTACAGGCGCTGCTGTGGGGCAGAAGAGATTTGAAGGCAGTGGGTGGGTTTTGGGTCTCTAGACTTCTTCAGGGAGCTCTAGTGGCCTAGTGGGTAAGGAGTTGTGCTGCAAACACAAAGGCATGTGGTTCAAATCCACCAGCTGCTCCATAGGAGAAAGATGGGCAATCACCTTGATTCGATTTACCGTCTGAAAACTCACCAAAGGGGTCAGCTGTAGGTCAGTTCTGACAACAACAAACAACAACATTTTTTTTAACATTCATTCATTCATCATTGCACATTTTTCTCCCTCTCCCAGTTCCGTTTGCAATGCACCTCCTGTTCCAGATTGTTGTTGTGCATCTAATGCCTAATCACATATTCCTTTCAGACAGTTCTTCCCCTCATCTGTTCACTCTCTAGCACTCTTGGAGTCCTTGTACCTTCTGTTTCTCTGGTTTCTGCTCAATAGTTAGTGGTACCCGTTTTAATCCCCTCAGTGACCCTGAGTTGATCCTCCTTTTACATACAAATGAGGACATTGAGACTCATTAAAGTGACTTATCCAACGTCACACAACTAAGACATGATGGAGCTGGGATTTGGACCGAAAGTCCCTGCATCGTGCAGTTGGTTCATATGTTCACCTGCTAACCTGCTAATCAAAGGGCTGCAGGTTCAAGTTCACCTGGCGATACCTGGTCATCTATGGCTGGAAAAGTCACCGAACACTCTGTGCAGCACAGTTCTACACCGACCCCTATGCACAGGGTCGTTCTGAGTTAGAATTGATACCATGGCAACTGGTTTGGGATTCTGAAACAGGAAGGCGGAAGGTGATATGGGAATGATTTGGCTCTGGGCATCTAGAAAGCAGTTATCTCTTGGGGCCACTAGATGGGACATATTCCTGGGGTATTCTCTCTATCTTGGTAAGACTAGACTTGATGGCAGTGAGTAACCGTTGCAGGGAGGGATGTGCCCATGAGGAGAAGGGGCGGTATCCCCAAACAACTGATATTTTCTTAAAGAACCTCAGAAACGTGTTGTAGGTGGGGGTCAGAGCACACAACGAGGCGGGTCTGGAACCTCACCCATGCCTAGTCACCCCAAGTATTTATATTAGCCAGGGCCCTTTGGAAGGTGAATGACAGAATTCAAGTCAACCAACTTGAGAAACAAAGAGTATTGGTTCATGAGAGTAAAATGTCCAAGCTCTCTCTTCAGGTATAGCTGGATCCAGGGTCTGAGAAACAGAAGCTGTTGTGTGATTTTCTCTTGGCCCTGCTTTCACTCATGTTGGTTTCATGATCAGGCAGGAAACTTGGGTGGCAGCCTGTAGCATCTGGCTATCTCCCACCTGGTTTGTTCTGCATTTTCACGGGGAAGGAGGACTGATGTCCAATGGTTTCAGCTAAAGTCCTGGGGCTGCTGTCATTGGACTGGGTCATCTTGCATGCTCATCCCCTGAACCAATCACTGTGTTGCGGTGGGAGTAGGGTGGAGAGTGAATTGGTGCTGATTGGCTAGGGCTGAGTCAGGAACTCACCCCTAGAAGTTCAGATGGAATCAGGCCTACTTGAATCACATGGTCTGA